TTTTTAGCTGTGTTGCCTTATAAGTGAACAAAATATGTGAGGAGTGAATTACTGTCTATTATTGTTAACAACTAAAGAACGTTTCAAGTTAAAGTGGTATTATGTTACGTCATTCTCATTAGTGGCGTTTTGTGTTTGTTCAAATAGCCGAAATTCCACTGTGATGTTATAGTATTCTACTCCCGTGATATACTGTCCCTTAATTTGTTATTGGGGTGACTATGGTACCTTCATTGGATTCAAGCACCTTTTTTTATGACACCATGTGTCGAACAAGTCGTGCGCCTGGTGGTAAGCGACACGCCTGTCCATAGCAGTTGCATTGTTAAACAATAGCTTATTGTGGCTTGTGAAAGAGTTCGTCCAGGGAAGTACTGCCATCTTACCTATTTCTGCTGGTGAAATTACATGGAACTTATCAACTTATGTCTGGAAGTTGACGGGCGCATTGGCGCCCTCAAATATTTGTGATTTAAAGTTCTAAGTGACGATATAACTGTCATGGACAGACTTGTCGCTTACCACCAGGCGCACAATTTGTTCGTTCCGTCACTTGGTATAATAAAAAAAATACGTTTCACTAGTGGACCTCCTATAATAAATAGGAAGCAATTCGAGACAGGGTTGTGGAGATCACTCATTTTTCAAGTGTTGTATACCTTCTTCGATATACAGATTTCATCATGACGGTTTTCTTCACCGTCGTATAAAATCACACACAAAACGTAACACTGTCGTAACTGACAAATGGTGAAGTTGAGAGAAAAAGATTTTCGAAAGTTTAAAAATTTATTTATGAATATTTTAAAAAACAAGACGCCGCCGCCAGGGTTTTTTTTTTCATTTTCCATTTCAAGTTTATATTGATTAAAGAACAGAAATTAATCTTGTGAATTTTATGGAGTCCGTAAAACAAGTTAATTTACTCAATTTAATTTTAAAAATTAATTTTTCCAGCCGTAATTTTTTTTTTTAATCAACTTCAAGTCATATAACTTTTTTATTCAAATATAACAGCAGTTGTCAAAACAAGTTAACAATGCTTTTAAGGAACTATTTACCATGTTCTCATTTAGATGTGGATTTTTATCTACACTCGTAACCATTGACTTACAAATAAATGGACGACGGGTCTAATACAAAAACCACGAAAAAAATGTCGTAAGTCAACCTATTCCAAATTTAAATTGTAATGTCATCTCAGTATCGCGCTGTCAGTCGAACAAATGAAGACTAAAGCGGAGTGTCGCGCTCTGTATACGATTTTAGCGCCTTACAAGTGCGGACACTTTTTAGCGCGGACCCGACGTCCATATAATTGTAAGTCAATGCTCGTAACTATAACATTTGTATTAGAAAGTTCATTGAGTGCTACTGTTAAGTCTGCAATCAATTTAGTGGGACTGCAGTCATTTGAACCAATTGATATCACTACATAGTCGTCTTGCTTCAGGTTTAGGTTTTAGGTTACCGATCTCAAAAGTTTGCTTATCAGTTTTATTTATTAGAATTACATTTACTTGCCAGGTTTTATTGGCATCGGTTAACGGGGAGTTCGCGAAACCGGGTTCATCTCCTAGTTTGCCACCCGTAGAAGCGGAATAGTTTCTTCAACAAAAAAAGAATCATCTTCATTATCATCATCAACGGATATTCTGTTCAACAAATGCAGAATTATCGCGTAATATACATATAAATAAATACAGGCGAATTGAGGACCTCCTTTTTTTGAATTCCCTCAAAATTTTCAATCAGGAGTCCCGCTTTCTACCAACACTTCCTTTTCAAGATTCCAGTTACTTTGGATTATGTCCTGAAGTAATTTGTATTTATTGTTTCCCATAACGTGGCCGAAGTACGACGTCTTCCTGCACTTAACGGAGTTCATCAAGCTCCACTTTTTCTCAGTTTATTGAGTACTTTCTAGTATTTAAGCTTTTATTAGATAGATAGAAAATTCTTTCTTAGAAAGATTCGAGGACACATCGAGCACATTACCAGGGTAACAATTGGCGGTCTTGTCGCTTACAGCGATTTCTTCCAGACAACCTTAGGATGGAGAAAGATTAAACATGAATAAAAACGGGGGTGCTAGGTATAAATAATTACACAGACATATAGAAATGATTAAACAATACATTATACACACTTAATATGATTAGTACGGGCGCATAGGCAGTGCCACACATATCTTTACGATTTAAGGCTCCGAGTGGTCCTACAACTGTTATAGACAGGCGTGTAGCTTACCATCAGGTGCACGACTTGTTCGACCCGTCACTTCATATTATATAAAAAAAAGAAATAATATAATAACAAATACATGTTTTGAAAGAAGGAGAAGCAGCCTGGCCGCAGTATACTGCTATTGTGATAGTTAGAATTGCTTCCCTTGATTTTTAAATGTGTTTAACGATTGCGCTTGTCTAATCGTAACTGAGAGAAAGTTCCAGAGACGAACATCGTGGAGAATAGAGAAAGAAGAATCTTAAAACGAATTGGCATCCTGAGACGGAGATCTTCTTAGACCGTAATGAGTGAATATTCGAGCAGTGTCGAAAATTAAATCCACTATTATAGTGTGGGATCTTTCCCAAGAGGGTTTTGGACATTATGTTGTATAGAAGAGATAGTATATGTGTACATTGTACTTTTATTATACCTTTCCTGCAATTTATATATTGTATCTGTGGTAATAATAAATGTCTACAAAGCTTCCTATTTATACACTTAATTTTAAAGGTACAAACATTTTCGTGATTAGTAAATATATAGTTAGTACTTAAGTACTAACCATATATACATAGTTGATGTTGTTAAGGTCTTTATTCTAAAACTATTATCATGGCGACCCTACAATCTTCTCCCGCAACTATTTCATTAGCGAAAATGTACTCCTTTGATGTATTCAGATTGCCGCAGACGTATGTGAACTACACTAATTACCATTGACAATATGTATGTACTAATGTAGGTATGTAGTCTTAAGTATGTGTCTAAAATAGAGTCCCTTAAATAGAGAGTGATACGTTTAAAGAAATTAACAGTCTTAAACTACCCTCACCACGGAAAAAAAAACACAACAGTAGCGCCTTACGTCG